GAAAAACAAATAACAGAAAATTCATATCTGCATGACGAGATTTTGAAGATAATTGACATAGAAAAATGAATCATAGATTGATTCAAATAGTATTAAATAAATCTATTACTTCTTTCAATTGATTAAATCGATAATGTTCATTTTTAATTTTATTTTTATATAAATCAATAATATTTTTTTTTATTCCTTGAGTTTGTTCTATCATTAATTTAAAAAAAGAATTTTTTTCTTTCATTTGTTCAATATCTTTATTCATATAATTACAAATATTTTTTAATTGAATAAATAATTTCATACTATCATCATTATGTTCTCTATTAAATTTAATTTTTTTATTATCATAAGAATATTTAATTAAATTTAATTGTATTTTTTGTCCAAATTGTAATGCTTCGATAATATGTTTTAAACGACGAATTTGTTCCGAAAAAGAATAATTTATATTTTTATTATTTTTATCAAATAAATTTTTATGTGTACGAAATAAATCAATACGATTTGGTGAAATATATTTTCGAAGTATTAATTTATTTTCATTATAATAATGTGGTTCATCAAGAATAGCACAATCAACATTATTTCCTTCTATAAAACCAATTAAAAATGTTCGAAAAGGAATTATAATTCGACATGATACAATTTTACCATATTTACTAAAATATTTTTTAATATTTATTTCATTAAATTGTTTATCATTATTTAATTTATCTAATGATACAACTAATTCATTTGATGACATAAAACGTTCAAATGCAGGACGTGTACATGGTAATGTACGACGAAGAAATAATATATGATCATCAAATTTTTTTCGTTGATTATTTTTTATAATGGAATCTATATCAACAGATAAACCATATGCTATTATTACAGCTGCACTATTACGTTGAGGAGTTTTTGGAAAATATGTATAACTTTCAATAGTACCAAATTGTGAAAAATATGAACTGAAATATAATTTTAAATAAATCTTTTTTTTGTTTTTCTTTTAGAGATTTATTCAAACTTACATTAAATTATCTTCATCAGTTATATCAGAAACATTGCTTATATATATACTGTACCGATCACGATCCATTTTTTTTCTTTTTATCTTTTGTTCTTAAAAAATAAGTTTCATCAAAATAAGATTTTATTAGTTTTGTTTACTTCTATTTCTTTATTTATTATACAAAAAAGAAAAAAGAAAAACAAAAAATAGCAAAAACAAGGATAGATCTCCACATGATGTTCAAGCTCACCGGCAACAAGAACAACAAATAGATATTAAGTAGTAACAAAAACTGTTCAAGACAAAATAGGATTATTTTTAACTATACACTGACAGAATATGAATATATAAATTGATTTGAAAGAAACAAAAAACAAACCCAACTATGGACGGATAAAATTAATTAGTAATTTATGAGGGTTGATTGATAACTTGAGCAACTATTTATAAAATAATAATGAATATTATTCTAAGAATAAAGTTTCTTTTTATTAGTTACTGTCAATCGTATTATTATGATCGATTTTTTCAGTTTGATTGACTACTAAAATAATATTATTTCATAGACAAATTTAATTCAAGAACACTTACATTCTTGAGAAATAGTAGTTGGGCTTGCTGTTATAGATGAAGATGATGATTTATCAACAACTAAACAAAAACACATAATGCTAAAGAAAATTTTCTTTATAGACGCAAAAAGAAACAAAAACTATTGGCTCAATCACTACTAAATTAAAATCTAAAACCACAAATACAATAAAAAAAAGTAGTTCCTATATTATAATGAGACATTATTGATATACGGTCTGTGATGGAGAAGAAATGCCGACAAGGATGTTTATCACGCCTGGAGGAATAGGTCTAAATTTCTACTTCTATACTTCAACACTCCTTTTAGATCGTGTTTTGCATAATCGAGGTATTCTGACTGAAGTTTAGTGAACAATGTTGTTTAATTTTAACACTTTGGTTATGCGATTTTTTTTGCAAAGATGACAAAAAAAAAGGTTCAAATCGAGTATATTCGTCAAAGGAAAATAGGAGAATGTGTTTAAACTTTAATCAACACTATAAAATTCAGTATTTGTTCAGTCGTCGAAAATCTTGTGAAATTCTTTGCTTAGCTTCGTGAATAATCCTATGATGTCTAATCTTCTGTGAGATTAGAGTTTAAGTAATAATCGCAACTATCTAGGGCGACGAAAATTCTACATAATCTGATAAATTTCTGTTTAATTTGACGGAGCTTTGAAAGATTTTAACTATAGAGAGAACCTATGAGTTCTTATAGGTCTCTAAATCTATAATACTTTCGTTTCTACTGGATATTCATGTACAATAATATCATACAGGGTAGTCTATTAAGTAGCTTTACAATAAAAAATTTGAGTATCTCCACTTTATACATAAATCTAAAATTTTGAAGTATGTTTTTAAATCGAAATCTCCATAAAAACGAGCATTATCAAGGATAACCAAAGTAATTGTCACTTTCTTCTCATCGTACCCTAAGAAAAGATAGATATATCGATGGCGAGAGAGACACAAATAACCACGCAATGCTTAACGGAACACACAACCGAATATATTTGTCGAAGAATAAATGTATGTACACAGGGATTTTTCGGAGCGATCTTAATTCATTATTGAAGTTAATGATGATATTTCAAAGCAATATTTCTAAATGTTACTCCTATGAAAAACAAACTCAGAAGAGCGCTCTATCACGAAAAAAAAAGAATTAATCACATAAAGTGGAAAAGAGAGAAGATTGTAAAATTTATCTACATAAAAACTTTCAATATTTTTTACCAAAACTTTTTATTGAACTTACCATGATGTTTTGTAATAATACTCTGTTGTAATTGATTACTGTCAACAATCGATGGTTTTAAATGTACAGATTCTAAATATAAAAATAAAACTATGTTTGAATAATTCTTTAAAAAAAAAAAATTCTACCTTTTGAGCATTTACATGAATCTATTTGTTTTCGTATTTTATTAATATCTGATTGTATTGTAGTAATAAATGCTGATACCTATTAGAAATACATTTATTGATCTTTTTTTTTTTTAAAAAGAAAGTTCATATACTTTATCCGATGAATTATGTACAAGATCAGTTAATTCTTGAAAATGTACAACTAATTCTTGTATTTTCATACTTTGATTAAGATTTCCAAGTTCATTCTTAAATGAGAAAAAAAAAATCGAGAATAATTGATTCTTTTTTTTTTTTAAATCTTTCTGTCGGAATGGAAAAAATTTTACTCGAAGAGATTTTAATTCATTACGCCATTTAGCAACATTTTTAGATAAACTTTCGTTCAGTGAAAGAAGAGTTTTTGATAATTGATTTTTATCCTAAATATAAACAAAAGAACAAAATTGAATAAAGATAAAAAATTTGATTTTGTCGTTTAACTTTTTGTGCATTTGTTTTTCGTTCTTGTTCAAGTAACTGTTCAATTAAATTTCTATCAAATGGTTTTGTGTTTCCATTGACAATATTTTCTGCTTCACTATCAGCATCACGACTTAATTTCTATTGCAACAAAAAAAAAAAAATACAACAAAACTTAATAAATAATTTCTTACATCTAATTCATTAGCAACGTCAGAAATTTGTGTTGATTTTTGTTCAATATTATATAATTTTGATGAAATATCAACATCATCATCATTATTCATTGACATCTAAATTAATAATTTTTATAGAATAGAAAAAAAAA